ACAGGCGCCCACCACAACGCCTGGCCATTTTTTTGGTTGCAGCCATCATTGTTGTTTGGCGGGCCCGGGCTAAGGATTTGAACCCGCCACCTTAGGTGTATGTGGCTGGCGCCTTAGCCGCTTGAGCCACAGGTGCCGAGCCATAGGTGTGAATTTTAAGACTACAGAGCATAAGATGAGTGACTCTGGATTATTTTTTTTGAGACAGAGTCTCACTATGTCATCCTGGGTAGAGTGCCGTTGCGTCACAGTTCACAGCAACCTTAAACTCTTGGGCTTAAGCAATTCCCTTGCCTCAGCCTCCGGAGTGGCTGGGATGTGACTTTGGATTATTGATGAGTCCTGCCCTGTGCCTATGCAGACCTGCCTTGAGGATGCAAGCCTCACATCAAAACAGACCTAAGGAGCTAACACAAGCTTGATGGGAAAGGTATGATTCCACCTGGAAAAGAGGATGGGAGGACCAAGCAGAAAGAGCTGAGGAGAGATGAGAGGCATCTGTTCAGACACTCTTGGGCAGTAACAAACAGACCCAAATGCTACCATGGAGTACTCTAGTGGAAAGAGCACATAGGGAGGTTAGTGGTATGGGCACTGGTGGGCTGCCTGTCTCTGGCCAAGCTCAGAGTTTAGGGGGGAGAGCGTGCTGTGATCAATTGCTCTGAGCCACATGTCTCTAGGCCCAGGAGAAGGCAGCCTACATCATGGGTCAAAGTACTACACAAGGGCAAGGTCCCTGGCTAAAGCACCTGCCCTTCTCTGGGCCTCTTGCTCCAGGTTTCTGGACTCCAGCAGGTAGAGAGGCTGGGTGTGAACTGGTTAGTCACCATGGAGTCTGGCTGAGTGGTAAGGCAGGGCCACCAGAGATTGACACAGGAAGGGACAAGCTGGGGCCAGCCTGAGGTGAGGGGCCACCTCCACATGTCAGTGGATCTTCTTCCACTCACATTTGTAGGGCAGATTTTTTTGTGCTCTTCTGGCAGGCAGAGCTGAGCAAGTTAGGAGCCAACTGGGACAGGACTCACCTAGGGGGCTGGCAGGCCCGTGGCCAAGCCACTGCAGGGTTAGGGATGGAGAGCCGCCTCTCAGGAGGGACATGCTGAGGTCTCCTGGGGGTGTAGGCCTCCTTTGGGAATGTCCACTTGCCCACCTTTGACTTATTTCCCCCACCTGCAAGCAACTGCCTGCAGCATTTGCTGACATGTTATCATGTACGACAGAGTTCCACCCTGTGCCCTCCTGTCTTAGACAGGGCTGTGTCTGCTTGGAGCTTGAAGGCCAGTGCAGTGATCTCGGTGTCACCTGTTGGTGGGTTGAAAGGACTATGACAGCTCCCATTATTTAGAATTTAGAGTGGAAAAGAACCTGAGGGGTTCCCAGACCAGTCTGCTGAGGGCTGCTGGCTCTGGCTTTGCCCAGCAACAAGAGATCCCTCCCCCACTTCTGGCCTCTCCTGCTAGGCAGAGATGGGACCTATTGGCACCAAAGACCCAGGGACAGACCCTGGGTAGGTGTGAGGGCAAAAATTTGGCCTTGGACATGCCCACTCCCCCTGTCCCCACATCTCCTCTTCCATTCTACCCCATGAAGTACCCAGGGATCCTGAGCCTGACTGTGACCTTTTGCTGTACCCCGCTCCCCAAGGTCCAGCCATGTTCCTCTTGTCACTGACTCACAAGCAGCAGCTGTGGCCATGTAGGCTGGGAGGCCTGGGTCCTCAGACTCCCTGGGCCTCAGTTCTTCCACCTGAGAAGTGTTGCTGGCAGGCAGGGAGCTCAGCGTGGGCTGGAGCCCTGCACTGTTTGTGGACATGTGAGTTGGGCTGGGAAAGTTTTAAAGAACATGCCATGGGCATTTTTTGCTAATAAGACCCCCCTAACCAGATGTGGTCTCTTCCCCTTAGACTTCTTTATGGTGCTCCTGTGACTACAATGAAACTTGACCTCCAGTGGGCTACCCCGTCCTGCCTTCACCAAGCCCCTTGGAGCCCATTCCCACCCCAGCCCCTGCCTTATCCATGCCTTTGGTGTGGGGTGCTGTATGTGGCCACCTCCACATCACTGCCCTTTTCATGTGGGAAGTACATGCCCAGGAGGCAAAGGCCTGTACCTAAGACTAACACTTGGACACCCCTGTGCTGCCCCTATGCCCAGCCATCCCTCAGTGCCCTCTCAGCAGCCCCCCTAGGTAGCACCTGGGGGCTGAGTCCTACCCCACAGGGATGTATGAGGAGTCCTCGGGATGCCCTTCGGCTGAGCTGCAGGGCATCAGTTTTAGATCCTGTCAGCCCTGGGGCCTCAGCCAGGGTCTTGGCCTGACTAAACTAGAAGAAAGAAGTCTCTTGTGGTCTGAGCCCAGAAAACCTATGGCCTCAAATACCTTGGGGGGAGCTGGGGCAGGTCCAAAGAGCACCCTGATCTCAACCCACAGTCCCCTCAGAGGAAGAAGCCAGCCTCTGCATGTGCAGTAATAGCTTTAATCAGTGGTGAGCCCCCACCCTTCAGGCAGGAAGAACCAGTTCTCAAGGAATAGAAGCAGGAGCAGTGTGCACATATGTGATCGCTGTGTCCCCACACTGTCTCCTGGCGACTCATATGTACAATGAGAGGGGAGCAGGACACAGCTCCATGTCTCCAGGGCCAGACCTGGGCACAGAGATGCAGGGCTCCAATATTTATATATTATACATATATATATTTCATGTGTATACAGATAGTTTTCTCTCTTGAAAGTATTA